ATATGACCCAACATTATTATGTAGACTCATGAACTAAGTGGGTAGAAGGTGACTGCTGATCAGAATGAGGTGGGTAGAAGGTGACTGCTGCAGTGTGACAGAGGAGTTTTTCAGTGTTGTTTCATAGATAACTTTAAAAGTAAAGCATTATTGTGCTTTATCCAGTCCTCACATGCTAAATGCTTAAGCTATTTAGCATTTCGAGGTATAGCTTTATAAAGTTGTGATTCAGTTAGACAGTGCCATTCTTTTGACCTTGCCTTAGTCACATAACATGAAGGCCCTGGAGAATTGTAAGCTTCTTAGTCTTCCGAACACAAGCTTCAGTGGCTGTATAATATATATTCACTGTGGGGTGATTTGGTGATGGGAAACCCGTGGGGATTACAATTGAGATGAAAAAAAAAGTGAAAAATGATGTAAAAATAAACTTTTTATAAAAAAAAAGTCAAAAACAAAAACAAAAAAAGATGAACTTGAAAAAGAAATATATATATATTCACTGTGTGTACTGACATCACAACTCCTTTTTTATGTTTTTAAGATTTATTTATTTAGACATACAGAACTGGGGTACAGGCCAGAGGTACAGGGGTGGTGAGAGGTTGCATCAGAGATGGAGTGGGAGCAGAACAGGCAGATCGATAAAGTATACTGCCGAGGGGAGCAGCAGGCGGGCCAGGAGAGGTCTGCCACGCCATGTGGTCACCTCCGGGGCAGGCGGGGATCAAACTCATGCTGAAGTGGCTTTAGCTTCTCAGTGCTGTGCTTTACCCTGCTGCACCACCCTCGGGAGGGCCCAACATCACAACTCCTTTGGAGACAACATGACATACTTCCAATTTTCTACTAGTAGAATGTATGGGATGAACATCTAATTCTGAATTTCAGATTTCCTGAAGTGGAACTATATGGGAAAGGACATGAGGTGTTTTCAGAAGGACTACTGTTTTTCAGATTCTAAAATTATATATAGTTACATATTATTTACATGTTTGTTTACATTGTCATTATATCATTTATATATTTGATATGCTTACACCTTACAGTTTTTTTCTCATGCAATTTTACCCCCAAAATTATGTTGATTGAGGCAAAGCAGGTTTACATCTTTATACCCGCTGTGGGGGCTATAGTTCAAACCTCTGCCAATGTATACTTTCAAACCCTGCCCACCACCAGTGGCAGTGCCCCAGCAGTCCTCTACCATGTTCCACTGTCCCCCTATCCTTCCGCACTCCCACCTTTCCCCTCTGGTTTTGCAATTAGATGTTAGGAATGCAACATAAAAAAGATACCACTCTTATTCTCATTGCCAGAAATAACTACTGTTAGCATATATTTGTCTTTTTAAAAAAAGATTTATTTATTTATGCATACAAGAACTGGGGTATGTGCCAGAGATGCAGGGGATGAAAGGATTCACCAGAGACAGAATGGGGAGCAGAACAGGCTGATTGAAGTACACTGCTGAGAGGAGCAGTGGACAAGGCAAGAGAAGTTTGCTATGCCATATGGGTCACCTCCCTGGCTAGGGATCAAACTTATGCTGCAGCGGCTGTGGACAGCTTATAGTGCCATGCTTAACCCCTTCCTCAGGGAGACCCCTGATTTTGTCCTTTGATACAGGTTTTCCCCCATGTATATATGATGCACATGTATGTACTTAGCTTATTACATAATTGGAAACATCTTGCTAAGCAGTTTTATATTTAGCTCTGGAATGTTTTTCTTCCTAAGTCATTAAAAATACCTCTTAAAAACATACCTCTAAGTTCACCAATAGCAATAGATGCAAAATACCCCATTGTGTGGAACATCACTTACCCAACATTCTTGTTTATTGCAATATGTCATTAATGGACAATTTTTAGCTTCTTGGTACATAGTGTCTTCTGTGTGAGTTGTGCATTCATGGTTCCATCATTAAAAAACAGTTATTTAAAACAATTTAGGCCCTCCCTGGTAGAGCAATGGGTTAGGGCGCAGCACTGCAAGTGAGCCACAGCCGCTTCAGTGCAAGTTCGATCCCTGGCCCCAGAGGTGATCCACATGGCACACAGACCTCTCCTGTGTTGCCTGCTTCTCCCCTCAGCAGTGTACTTCATTGATCTGCCTATTCTGCTCTTCACTCTGTCTCTGATGAATTCTCCCACTGCCCCTGCACCTCTGGCTTGTACCCCAGTTCTGTAGGCATAAATAAATCTTTAAACATTTTTTTTAAGTTTACAAAAGCAGAAACTGTCATATGGGGAAGAGTTCACAATACAGAAATGGATAGATAAACTCTAATAGACCCTGCTGCTGAGAATCCTGTAGCTAAGACTTTCCTGTGCAACCTTTCAAATGTTTTGTTTCTACTTACACACAAATACACTGCTTAAATTTTTAACCAAACTATGGTCATATTGCTTGTACTTCTCAGCCATGTGCTTATTCTATTACTGTACCATTGGGATGTCTTCACCTAACTATCCTTTAAATATCTGCAGAATAGTCCACTGCATGGCTGGGTGGTTCCTCTAACCAGTCCCTGGTGGATGCTTAGATTGTGTACAAGTTTCCACAGTAACAAACATTGCTGCAATGAACAGCCTTAAACAAATTCATGGGAGAGATTTCTGGAAGTAGGACTGAACTGAGTCATCCACAGCTTGGGGTTTTGTCATGTGTACCGCTGATGGTACTTGTGCTGACGACCGCCTCATGGACATGTCTTGGTTGTTTTCTGCATAGGTCCTCAGCCTGTAGGGGCTCCCCCAACATCGAGGAGGTGCCATCACCTTCTGTGAAGGCCTCTATCTTTACTCCACCTGTCCTGCTCAAGTTCCAGCCTGTGCCCAGACCCAAAGATGACTCAGAGAATGATCCTGGCAGCGCAGAGTCCGTGCCCCCCAAGAGGAGCCTGTAACCTCCTCCCTACAGACCATGGCCGGAGGAATTAATAAAGTTCCTGAGGAGGCGCCTTCCTTGCGTTGGGCTCCCTAGGACCTGTGCAACCCCATGGGCTCCCTTCAGCACAAAGGGGCTGTCAGTAGCATAAGTGTGAGCCTGCACACAATAGGTGGTCAGCGCTGTTGAGGTCTCCTTGCTTGCACTCTGACATGGGATTTCAGCCATGTGTGCTCTGAAATGAGTGAGGAAAGGGTTTGGCCTTACTTTCAGCGACTTTGTGGCCTTTAGGGTCATACTTGATCCCACTGAGTTGAAGTCTACCATCTTTCCCTACAGCTGGCCCCTAAACACAAGTCTTAGTGGGAACCCATATTTAGAAAGAGTGATCCCTTCAGTAGAGATAAATGAGCTGATATATCAGATTTCACCCTGGCACCTCCAAAAGGAATTTCAGATACTTGACTCTCATTGTGACATGCTGGTCTTAGAATCAAACTTGCATGTGAGATGTGAGTCCTCAAAATGCTTGATGACTGTGGGACATTAGCAGCTATTCATTCAGCCCTTCTTCATCTTTTTTTAAAGATTTGCTTCTGCATAGAAGAACTGGGGTGTAGGCCAGAGGAGCTGGGGTGAGGGGATGAGAGGAGTCATCAGAGACAGAGTGGTGACTGAAATACACTGTGAAGGGGAGAGGTGGGTGAGACAGGAGAAGTCTGCTGCACCATATGTGGGTTAGCTCCCTGGCTGGGGATCAAACTCAGGCTGTCACAGTGATAGCATTGAAATTTAACCTCTAGGCCACCAGGGAAGTCCTCAATGAGCCCTTCAAATGCCCTGTACTTTGCTTGGAGCTGGAGATAACCAAGAAGTTGGGGAACTATGTCCTTACGGAGCTTGCATTCCACCCTTCAATAGGTTTAGGTCAGGGTGCTGCAAAATAGTACATAGATTAAATTAATCCAGGATTACAAAATTGTGATAAGCTCTGTGGGAGACAGAGATGTATGGGGTAGGTCTCTCTGAGGCTGTGGTATTGAAACCTGAAAAATGTGAAGGACCCAACCATGGGATGAGAAAAGACAATTGCTTTGGACAGCTGGTTGGATAGTGGTGCCTTTCAGTGGAGTGGAGACTTTGATGGGAGGGGAGTAGGGTTTTCCAACCTGGGTATCCAAGTAGAGGCCAGGAGTCTGAAGTGCTGGGGACCTAGTCTTGGGAATCAAGGGATACAAGTGGTATTTAAAGTCAGGCAGGAGCTTGGGCAAGATCATCCAGTGAGGGTGGACCATGATCCCTGGCTTAGGCTGGAACAACAATCGCAGTGATCTGGTCATGGAAATGGTCCACAGAAGAAAACTAAAGGGTCAGTAAGGGCTTTGGAACTTGAGGTTGATGGCCATATGCCCCATGGGCCACCCAGAATAAGGGGGAAGAAAGGGGTGAGCTAGTATTTGGTGTGTGTGGACGTTGCCTTAAAAATTTTTTTTTTATTTATGCATACAAGAGCTGCTGTGCAGGCCAGAGTTTGGGGGACTTGGGATGGTAAGAGGATTCTTCAGAGATAGGATGAAGAATGGAGCAGAGCAGGCAGATCGACTGAAATACACTGCTGAGGGGAGCAGCAGGCGAGACAGGAGAGGTCTGCTGCCTCATATGGGTGGCCAGGGATCCAACTCCTGCATGCTACAGTGGTCACAGATAGCTTCATAGAGAGAGACTTAACCCCTTGTGCCACCAGGGAGGCTCCTGGATGATGTCTGAGGCATATGCCTTGGACTAGAGCAGAGATGGAGTGGAGGAGGCTGATGACACCAGATTTTTTTTGGAGACCCAAGAAGTCAAGGTGGGTTTGTGCGGCTATGGCATCTGGTCAGGGCTGAGTGGGTAGATAGCGAGTTCTGGAGAGAAGACACGGTAGAACAACCAGCTGGGAAGCAGAGAGAGTTCGGGCGGGCGAGACTCGAGCCGAACTGCGCATGCTCACCGCAGGCGGCCGCGGAATAGGCCGCGCCTTCCTCGCAGACCCGGATCTCCCGGGACCACAGTTCCCGGAAGGCCTTGCGCTCGCTTCCGGGCGGGCCAGGGGCAACCGGAAGTAGAAGAGCGCGGTCCTGACGCTGCCACTGAGTTGTTTTCGGTAGCTTTTCCGTGTTTACTGGTGTCGCCGTCGCCGCCGCCGCCACCATGGGGAAGCGTCAGCACCAGAAGGATAAGATGTAAGTTGAGCCGCAGCCCTACCTGCCCCACGCCTCTCCTCTGCCCTCACAGTTCGTCCCTAGAGCCCCGCAAATTCGGGAAGCCGCCGCCCCCACCCAGGCGGGGTTATTACTCCTAGGAGCCCGGGTTTCCCGGGTCGCGACTCCACCACGGTTACCTGCCTTCACATGAACGCGGCCCTGCACCGCCTCGACACTTGGCTTTTGCCCTGGACCGCCCCCCTTTCTACTCAGCTCTGTTCGAATCGGCCCCTCTTTGTGCACCTCTCGCTTTTCCTGTTGCTGCTTCACATCCATCAGCGTACACATGCACGACAGAATCTTCTAGTTTAGAACGAGCCAACTTTGTCTCTCCAGCTTTTACTGTAGTTCTTTGATTTTCTTCATAAAAAGATATGAAAGACCCGTGTCTGCTTACTGTTGTTTTCCTCCCAAATCTATTTTTTACTTTTTGCAGTGATACCTCTATATACCTGTATCTTTGAATGGGTAGTCTTTGTTGTCTTTTGAAGCCACTCCAGTCAGCCTTTCACTCCCCATTCTTGTCGGGATTCAAGTAGTTTCCCGATAGCTGAATCTAGTGTTCAGATTTCATGTTGGGCTTTTCCACAGCCATGAAAGTTGAATACTGTCTACTTCTGAAGCCCTTCTTTGGTGTCTGGAACACCAGATGCTCTTTGTTTTCCTTTTACCTGTGACCTCTTTTCTCAGTCTCCTTTGTTGGATCCTTCTCCCACTTCAAACCTTGTAGGTGTGCCTGCCCCAGCATTCTTTCTGATTTACACTCTGCCTGGGTGATTTCCCTCCAGCCTTTTAGTAGTGAACTGCTTACTGACAGCTCCACTTGGAGGTCAGATGGTCAGCTTAATTTTTATATAGCCCCCACGGAACACTTGACTGTCAACCCTTGAACCTGTGCTTGTTCCTTTTTCCTATCTCTGGTCTTTCAGTTGTTTAGTTTGCTCAGTTGATAAATCTGGGAGTTAGCATTAGTGCCTCTTTCCTTCAGCAGCCACCTCTTTTTTTAATCAATAAATCCTACTGTTTAAATCAATCAATCAATCAATCTTACTGTTCCGTACAGGAACAGATAGCTTCTTACCTGCTCCACTCTCCCCACTACACGGAGTTTATGCCAGAACCTTCTTGGACCTTTGCAGTTTCTTTCTGATTGGTTTTCTGCTTTCTCTCTTGCTTATCCCTCTATACACATCACTCAGAATGATGCTTTGAAGATTTACAGTAGATTATGTCAGGGTCCTGCTCAAAGTCCTCTTACAGTTTTCTATCCCACTTAGACAAATCAAAAGGCCTTACACGGCCTTTGAGGCCCAATCATGATCTAACCACCACCCATCCTCTCATCTGCTGCATGCCTCTGGACACACATTTTCGCAGTGATTTCTCCCTTTGGGAACACATCAGTTTTTCCTGCCTCATGGATTTTATACATGATATGCTTCTTTGGTCCCCTCTGCCTGGAAAGCTTTTCCCCCAATCTTCAAAAGACTAGCTCCATCTCATCATCAGATCTTCTGATAATTTTATTCATTTCCTTCTGAGCAAAGCGGGGTAGTTTGTATTTGCTAACTAGTTTATATGTCCCCACATAGAATAGGTGTTTACTGAGAACTTGCTGAATGAGCAAAATGATTTAGTCATCATTTTACTACTTCCAGAGACTTTTTAAAGGGAGTGGTTATAACACTGTTCTGCTTTTTCAGGTACATTACTTGTGCCGAATACACTCACTTTTATGGTGGCAAGAAACCAGGTAGGGCTTGAAATCCTTCTGTTGTTCCCGGTTTGTGGGGGGGCCGAGGGGGGTGCATAACTAGGAAACAATACCTTCACTATACAGTGAATCTATAAATATTAACAGTTACCAACACAAACTGTAGTAGACAGGTGAACTGAGGACAGTTCACAAAAGAAGAAATACATTAAGTATAAAGGAAAATGTTTAATCTCAATGTTTCATTTCAGTGTTTGTTAAAACAGCATATTTTCCCCTAGCAAGTTAATAAAGAGTAGAAAGAATGATAAGACCCAAAGCTATCAGTGCTTTAGTAAATATTGTTATAATTGCTAAAGGAAGTTAAGCTGGCACAGCCTTTTTGGAAAGCAGAGCAAAGCCTCACAACAGAGCTAGGTTTCTGGCAGAGACCTGACCTGACTACAGTGACTGAAGTGACTATGTCCTTTTCCCGCTAAGTTCTTCTTTGAGCCTCATATGTCTGTTCTTTCTGCTCAAAAGTTTTAATCTATGACAGTTGCAGATTGTATGTAATTTATTTAACTTTTTCTTAAAATGTAAATGAATTGGTGGTGGGAACAGATAAATGAAAATTTCTCACTAAGTTTTTAATGTTTTTTTTTTTTAATTTCATTTTACACAGACCTCCCACAAACAAATTTTCGTCGTTTACCTTTTGACCACTGTAGGTAAGCAAGCATTTTGAGTGTTTATCTTCCTCTCCTAGTTCTCTGATACTCAGTTTTTTGACAGTTAAGCCGATCCTTGGAGACATGGGTTCTGTCTGTGTCCTTCCCTGGCTGAGAAGTGGTGCCGCTGAGACTAGAACCCCATGGTCTGCCTCTGGGTCTTTGTCTTCCATGTTCTGCTTTTGGTCTAGTTCAAAGCAGTGTCAACAGTGGTTCTGCTGTAAACCACCTCCCTCTTCCCTGAGAAAGCAAGTCACTGGTGAAGGGAGGGAGGGGCTTGGGTACAAAGCTATTCAAGTACTTCTTTCCTCCCAGTTGGTGTGATGAACAGAAGGTGGGTCTGTTGGAGAAATTGGACTAGGACTAAATAAATCCCAGCATATTGGGGGGGCTGTGGGAGTTCGCATTTTGGTGTCTCCTTGGGCCTTGGTTTCCCCAAACCTGAGCCATGGACATTTCTGTCTTAGACACGTATGTCTATACAAGGTGTCCCCTTCCCCTTTCACCCTGAGTTGTAATTCCATAGGTCAGAGTGAGCTTTGAGAGATGCAAAGTTCTCCTGGTGATCCTGGCACCCTGGTAGAGGCAGTGCAGCTAGACCCCACAGTGTGATGAGAAAGAAGTAAAAAGGGGCCTGTGCACAGTGCAGGGAGGCCCGGGGGTTGCAGCCCCCCCAGGAGGCTCCTAGGCAGCGGTGAGTGAGCTTTCCCACATATGGTGCATGTTCAGGGAAGCTGGACAGTGAGGCTTGGGCTGTAGTGCTAGATTCCTCCTCACTTCACCAGTGTTTGTCATCAGCTTCGTGAGAATGTGGTCTCCTTCATAGTGAGCACAAACTGGTTTTGAGAAACTCTTCCTTGGTTCCCAGTTCCTCCGAGTGGTCTCTCACCTCATGCCATTTTTTAAACATTACTTTGGGTAGAAACGTGTCCTTGTGGTATCAGAACTTACTCAGGACTCACAGGGCTTCAGATCTCATCTGAGTCATGTGTCCAACACTTGGAAAGACAGGGAGAACTTTGTGCACGCTGTGGTGGGAGCAGGTAGGTGCCCTTATACTGTGAATGCCCCACTTGTCTCTCGGGTTGAGGAGGGCAATTTTTAGTAGAAAAGTTTGCCTGCTATGTAAGGTTTAGGGAGCAAATTGCAGCCCTTCCTTCCTGAGGACGCTCTCAGGTATCTCTTTTGGACTTGAAATGGCGTTATATGGAGAGAACCAGTTTACTGTTGGCCCATGGGCCCTTGAGCATCTCCTGAGACCCTTGTCTGATTCTTACTGTTATTTTCCTGAGAGCTTTTGGGGGCCGGGGTATCGGGGCCACCTCTGCTCTGTGCAGAGGAACACTAAAGGAGAATTGAAGGAGGGAGGAGCAAAGGGGAAAGACATAGATTCACGGGGGGCATGGCGAGTGTGCTTGGCAGCTCATCAGCAGTCTCTCCTTTCTCAGTCTCTCTCTGCAGCCCTTCGTCTACCCGGTCTGCACCCCCGAAGGCGTCATCTTTGACTTACTGTGAGTTTCCCCTTTACTTTTGACCTAGCAAATGGGGTGAGATGGTTGATTCCCACCAGAACGGCATGTCCGGCCGTTAGAGGGTTTGTGACCCCAGGCAGTGGCAAGTCAGGCCTCGAATCTTGGGTGGGCCTTTTGATGACCCGGAGGGACTGCCAGGGCTTCAGATGAGACCTCAGTTCTGCTGTGAGCCCCAGGCAGACAGCTTTAGCAGGAATGGCTTTGACCTCCCCTGCCTCCATGTGAGGTCCTAGTGTTCTAATTGGCACACCTACACCATTTTGGAATGTTAACGAGCTGTGTATTTTTCACTTTAGGAAAGCAGAATCATAATGAAGGCATGAATATTTCTCTGGTACTAGATTATGAAACATGTAGTTTTATGTTCAGCATTAAGTTAGTTGCTATAATTTTTTCAAGTTTCAGACCCAATTTGGAAAATATTTCGAAGTAAAAGGAAAATTTTACCATAATCACACTATCCAGAGTAAGCACTGTCAGTGTTTATACACGTCTCTGTGAGTTTGTTTGTAGTAAGGTAGTTGACATAATACTGTGAAGAGAGTTCTCGATCCAGTTTTCACTCAGTTTTGATGAGAGTTTAAATGGATTCTGCACACATACAATGAGCAGCACCAGTGGGACAGTGGGCCAGGTGCTGGATGCCAGGGATAGCATATCAGATAATAGTGAAAACCCTGCTCAGACATACTTTCCATAGCGTCGGGGCTCCATCGCACAGGCAGCCTGGTCCTCACCCCTTCTCTGCAGATGCCTGCGGGCAGACCTGGGTTCTTACTGTGCTTCTGACTGACTGGCTGTAAATCAGAGGTTCCCACCACATCCTCCTTAGGTTTGGTTAATTTGTTAGAACAGACTACAGAACTAAAACATTTTACTTGATCACCAGTTTAATATCTAGAAGTATTAACTGGAATAAAAGTGATAGTTAAAATTTATTAGATAGTCATAGTGAGGATTCAAACCCCAGAACTTATCTAACAGATTTTACTCTGGGAGAGACTTTTTTTTTCAAAGATTTATTTATTGGCTCTCCCTGGTGGCACAAGGGGTTAAAGCACACTATGAAGCTATCCACAGCCACTGCAGCACCAGTTCTATCCCTGACTAGGGAGGTGACCTACATGGCTCAGCAGACCTCTCAGGTCTCACCCACAGCTCCCCTCTGTAGTGTATTTCAGTCAATCTGCTGTTCTGCTTCCCACTCTGCTCTGGTGAATCCACTCACCCCTGCACCTCAGACCTATACCCCAGTTCTTGTCTGCATAAATAAGTAAATCTTTTGTGCCCCAGTTCTTGTCTGCATAAACATATAAATCTTTGTTAAAAATTTTTTATTATTGTTTCCCCCCCCGGTCCTTTATACTCC